CACTCCAAGGTATTTTATACTGTTTGTAATTTCTAAAAAGGTTTTTGATACTGAAACGTGGTTGGAGATGACGGCAATTTAAAGTTGTGAGTACGACTTTAGTTTTTTCTGCATTAATGTGAGAAGATTGTCGTTGAGCCACCTCCTTATCACACTAAAACCAGCTTGTGCAGACTGATACCTTGAAATGTGTAGATTTACGATTATGTAATTACCACTATGTAGGTAAATAGGCAGTTATCTATATACGACTATGACAGCTAGAAAAGTGAAGTTTCAGAGGTATAGCTATTCTTTTTTGCATACTTGCTGCTCAATTAAACACAAACCAGTAGTGTTAAACCTGAAACAGGACTTGTTTGTAATGAATCCTGCTGACATACTATCTTCACCAGAGCTGGGGTTGCCCTGAATCAAATAAATGTATATTGGTGATGCAACAGAATTGTGCTACCGCAACCGCGAAGTTGAACACGTTTTTTCACATCGCAACATTTAGAACTGAACAATAATCGGACTTTGTACAGTAAGAATTATTACTGTTATGTTACTTTGAATTGTTTTGTTTTTTATTTCCAACACGTTTTTGTTTACAATAGTTTACAGAACACACAAACATTCCCCAGCATTTAAAAAGAATGTCACAAAAGTAAACAATTTTGCCGCAGGAGGGAAGTATTTTGGCGTAAAAAGCGGAAGGTTCTTTTGTCTCCGAGTGTAAGTCGAACTTGGCTCGCGCCCAACTCTAGGGAACTTCGCGCCCCGCGGGAAAACAACCTTGTGCATTAAGATGGTAAGGCAGTGCAACGAGGCAAACGTTGTCGTCGCATTTGTAATTAAAAGTTTACATTAGTTATGAATCAGGTACCGGCTGCAAGTTACGGTAATTAGTGTTCGAATTTAATTATTTCGAATTGTCTAACAGAATAACTTTATTATAAAAAAACCGATCACAGAAATTTGTGAAATTACATCTATTTTCCAAATTTTATTGAAATCGGCTTGGGTGAAATCCAGCAAAACGGATTCGTTTCCTAATTTGCTACCCTTAGAGGTGGAATATTATCTATCTTTAAATTTAAATGGGACCACTACTCCGCTACTCCCTTTCCAACAAAAAAAGAATCATCTAACTCGGTCCACAACGTCGCGTAACATACACAAAAAAACATTAGAATTGAGAACCTCATTCTTATTTATTAGAGTGTTTATTCTTATTAGAACATGCCACCCCCATAGGAACATTGCACCACTCAAACACACTACATACGAATCAATACATGAGTACTGATAATTATGTACATTTTATACACTTTTGTACCATGCGGTACAGTGCTCTGGCGACTTTGGATGTAGGGTTGGCCAGTATGCTTTTATGCACACCCTCACTTAGCATCGGCAAGTTGAATTTGATGCCCAGCTGAAGCCTCTCAGCCTTTTTCCAGATACACGTCACGAGAACGTGGTATACATCCTCACTCTTGTTACAATTAGAGACAATGTCAAAAAACAACCTTTGTTGTTGGTTGTTTTTTGGGGGTATAATTATAAAATAGAATGAAATACTGAAGTATTCCGAATTTAAGGCACTCTTGATTAAACAATTATAATAAATAAACACGTCTACTATTAGATCAAACACCCTAATAACGCTTCAATTCGACAATGAATAGCGCGTCTGACGATACGTGCTGTGCCACTCGAGTGCATCGCGAGATTATGCAAATGTGTATTAGTGATGCAACAGACGTCTGCTTCCGCAACTGCGGAAGTTCCGTACGCTTTTTCACATCTGTTTCCGTTTCTACTACAGCCAGTAACGGAATCTTAATCGGATGTTTACAACGTTTGCAACGGATCAGGCGCTAGTGACGATTATTTGGTGACGGATGGAGCGCGCGTTTTTTTTAGTAATGTTGTGTTGTGTAATAATTACACTTAAATTATTAAACCAAAAACAAACCCCGGGAAACTATTTTGGTGAGTTGTTTGTAGTATTTACACTTCCGCTTCCGCATCCGCTTTCGTTTCCGCTAAGATTTACTTTTGACATCTGTTTCCGTTTCTGTTTCCATTGCATAACTTCCGTCGCATAACTAATGTATATACTTTCGTACACGGCGTACGGCGAGCGCGCATATTGCCATCTTGTCATAACTAACGTAATCGGTATTTTAACGAAATTGAGTTATTAATATACCTAGAATCAGCGAAATGAGATCTACAACACCCCCCAATCGGTTTTTTTATATCTTATTTAGTTTCAGTTTTATTCGTAATTGATATTGTTCAAATAAACAAAAAAACTTTAGTTGCCTATATCTCGATTCTCGAAAGTTACCAAAATGTAAATGCGTTAGTTATGACAAGGCACCATACACTGCATGTCTTACAACAACACTGCTTAAGCAAATGGCCTAATAAGAGAGGAGGAATTACTACAATGTACTTACATCAGAACGATGCCCTCTCAGGTTATAATTAGTACGCAGTGGCAAATCCTGCGAACGGCGCGCGTGAGACGAAGTAAAAGTGACGCCAACGACGCCGCGCACATTGCCTGTAGCCAGCCATCCTTCCTGGTAGTAGTTGTTGCGATTCAGTTTCCAGCCCTCCTCCTGCCACAATAGAGAATACAAAGTGAATTAAGTGGGAAGATATGTAATCCATTGAAGCACAGGTGTTTTTTCTAAAAAGTTCGCGTGTCTTCAAAGAAAGAAATTGAAAACTTTCATGTATTTTTCAATAAGTATTGTATTGCGCAATTTCTTTTATGATACCAAGTTGTACGCCTGGTGGTAAGCAACACGCCTATCCGTAACCTGAGAAATAAGTTGACAAGTACCATGTGCCTGTAATGTCACCAAGACCCTTATTCTTCAAAACCGAAAGGCAGTAATGTTCACATTACTGCTTGACGGCAGAGATAAGTAAGGTGGCAAAAGTTCCCCGCACGAACTCTGTCAAATGTAAATGTAAATCTAAAATCTTTATCGTGTGGTCCGCACGCTTATCGAAGTTGAAGACACAAACCAATCTAATTGCAAGGAGGACAAATATTATCTCTAGGCTATTACTTCTTTTCGAAACTACCAACCAAGTAAAAATAACACTCGTATACGAACAGCGAATCCTGTGAACACATTTGGCACATTGACTGCATTGTTTACCCACATTACCTAGGTTTTACTGCCCATTAAATTTACTGCAATTTCGACCTTGACCTTCTTTACATAAGGATACAATTTATAACAAAACCCATTACGTTTAACTACTCTAATGTGAAATTAAATGCATGTTCTCGTGCAGGTTTAAATTGAATAATAGTTGTTTCACCGCAAATAACTGCAAGCAGTAGCATAGTAGCAGATTGTGTTTAGCAAAAGTTTAAATACCACGAAATTTCAATACGTAATCCCTTGGTACAATATAGTCGCTGCGAACATACGTCAAAACGGTCATTTTCAGACCAGTGTTCCCTACCTGATTTCGGTGGCAAATTTTATTATTTAAGTTTTCGATTTTTTTAACGTGCAATATTATGTCATATTCGAGTATTGAATGATTTTTGCGCGGCGTGGACGAAAGTCGTAGTATAAGTTGCCAAAATAGATATGTAATATTTTTTGTGGCCAAGTATACTATACCTAAATTGTCACCTGGAGCCACTAAAGAAAAATTGCTACGTCGACGTTATAGTATATTTATTTATAATTTTTTTACTCCTGATTTCTAATTTTGGCGACGCGTCCACAACCCGAGACTCTAACTTGTTTTCAAGATTGAAAAAAATCGAGCCAAGGTTAACGACTAATTTCGTACATAGAATTAAAGATTTTGCAGAAGTAGCCTTATAACACTTAGGGTTGTGCTATACACAATACCTAAGGGAGATAAGCGTAATATCCTAATTTGTCCAACTGCATCGCTAAAAGGGTACATTGCTGGGTGGAGTCGGTCCGGAACTGGGGCAATTAATGGTGACGTAATTGAGCGCGCGCCGGAGATTGCCCCGAAATGGCCAATAGGGTTCATATTAGAAGCCCGGCCAGTGCCCCTGGTTAGTCGAGCAAACTATTCGATTGCCCGAGCATTAAGTAGTTTTATCAACAGTTGGTTCGGGTAGAGAGATTATTATGCGTTGATGAAGTCTTGTTTTTTCTGTTTTTGACGACTTTTTACCGTAAATTCAAAGGTTATCTACACATACTTGTAACAGAAACGCTCATTTGTTTCTTAATAATCATTTGGCGCTTGTGCTTTTGATTTGTCAAAACTATGGACAACCTAATGCATCGTCTTTTGTGCGACGCCCGCTGTCTGCTGAAGCCCTAAATTAATATAATATGTCTGGTCTCATCTTAATCTATGTATATATTTTTCAAAGAAATTGAGCACTAAATATTACAGATATAATTAGCTTGTTTATACTACCTACCATACCTGACTTTGCCACATCGCGATGGTAATCATGAATCTGACTCTCAATAAGGTTTCTGTTGTGCAGTTATGCCAGCCCGACTCGAATATAACCGTGTTCTTGTTAAATGTTCTTGTTATTACCATTGCCCTATTTATATTATATAATAGATTGTTTTAATGACATCAATTTGGCCGACTGCTTAATTTCAAACTAATCATTACTTAGGTATAATAATAGTTATAAAAAGTAGAAATTATAATAAGTTGTAATATAAAATTATTGGAACGTTGTTATTTTAATTAGTACAACTGTTTAGTCTAATCACAATCATTTAATTTGTCCTTTCTTAGTTTTTGTTTAGGGTTTTGTATAAATGTCTGCTGGTTCGTTCCGTAGCTTAGTTAGCATAGCGTCTGGTACGGTTTGCTAGAAGACATTGGCTCGACTCCAGCCGGATTGAAGGAATTTTTCCAAAGTGTTCGTTCTTTGTATTAATAAAGATCGAACGTGGCGAAACGTCCTGACCTTCAGTAAAAACTTAATTTCAGTTTTTAACAGACTTCAGAAAAAGGAGGAGGTTCTCAATTCGACGGTATGTTTCTTTTATTTGTATGTATATGTTACGCGATAACTCCGGTATTTGTCAACCGATTTTGACGATTCTTTTTTTGTTGGAAAGAGGGTACCTCAGTTGTGGTCCTATTTAAATTTGAAGAAAACTACCTCTAAGGGTGGCAATCTAGAGGATGAATGACTTTTGAAGTCGGTTTTTTAGTACTCTGTACTGAGATTATATTTGTTAAGCAAATTCAGAGTAACTTACATAGGTGCCAATATCTCGAGTTACCAAAATGCAAAACAAGAAGGGCAGTATTACACACGACTGTCTCATTACTAGCTCGATACGGATTTAAGTTTTTCCGCGTTTCGCAACACTCTCAGCCTCCGCTCGTAAGTATTCAAGTTTTGACGCGCATTAACGTTTATTATAATAAATAAGTATATTGTGAACAGAGATGGGCTAGGGGTCAAAATCCAGTGAACCCGCCCAGGTTTTAACTGGGTTTTTACCCAAACAAGTCATGCGACTCATGAAGAATAGAATAGATTAGAATTATTTATTTCATATTATCAATGTCATAACATCACATGTCGAAATATAATGTCAAGGGATAACATGATCGTCATTAATGTAAACAATAAAATAATTAAAAGAAAAATAAAAAAAAACACGAACTACAGAAATTCATTATACAATAAAAGGTCTTTCAAAAAAAAACTCTTCGTCGTATGGTAATAGTGGTAAGCGACACGCATGTCCATAACAGTTCCATTTGCAATCAGAGCTTTAATCACAAGATCTGGAGGGCACTGCCACTGCGCCCGTCACCCTGAGACATAAGTTGACAAGTCCCATGTGCCTGTAATTTTACCAGCACCCATGCTCTTCAAAACCGGAACGCACTAATGCTCAATTACTACTTGGCGGCAGAAATAGTTAAGGTGGCAGTCCTTCCCTGGACGAACTCTGTCACAAAGAGCTCTCTGCTACTTACTAAAAATCCTCTACGTAGACAAAAAGCCATGTTCACCGAATGAACAAATATGTGTTGATGATGTTTATGTGTATGTAGTCTATGGGAAATGCAGGGGTGGGAAATTGTGGGATGAAACGGCAGATGTGCAATTTCCTGGCGGCGATTGAAATGCGGCAGACGGTGAGGTCATATAACTGTATCTTGCCAATATAAAGAACCGTACACTAACTGGTTTTAATATATATTCTAATTTAACTCTTGTACGGTGTTCCATACACTTCTGTCTGTTGATGAGAGACTCCATGATAAGGGTGTTTTGATTATTCGCTTATTTGATATTGATAAATTGATTGATATTGATGTCGGCTTGATGATATGCTTGCCGAAGAATGATAATTGATTTGCTAGTTGATATATGATAATAACGATGATAAGTATGCTGGTTTCTTCTCTGCTTAGCGCCACGTGGCCAGTGTATAGCTATTGCGCCGTCTCAATCTGCCCGGTGAGACCCGCTTGTGGGAGGCCGGACAAACCGATCGCACTGTACACTAAAACACGCGACACTTTAACTTGACAACACGACTTCGAATGAACCAAAAACGGTCCATAGGTCGCTGGTTCAAATCCGGCTCGAAGGACCAAAAAGATGTACGGTTTTCCATACACTTATAAATGATAGTATGATAACTGATAAGAATATTTATTAGTATTGATTTACAACTAATAATGATACATTTGATAGGTGTGAAATGAGTACACTGCGCGATGGCTGATTATGAACTGATTTAAATTACAGCAATATGGCGTAAAGTGCTGATGGAGCGCATTGTCGGTCATAGACCGTACAACTCTTAAAGAATTATATTTTAGTTTTACGGACACTGATTAATGTACTGTTGAGTTTTACTGATTCAGTATTTAGTAGCAGTAGAGCTCCTTGTGAAAGAGTTCGTCCAGGGAAGTACTGCCACCTTATCTATTGTGTTCCGGTTTTAAAGGGGAAGGGTACTGGTGAAATTACAATCACATAGGACTCGTCAACTTATATCTCAGGGTGACGGGCGCAGTGACAGTGCGCCTCAGATCTTTGCGATTTAAAGCTCTGAGTGGCACTGCAACTGTTATGGACAGGCGTGTACCTTACCATCAGGTGCACGACTTGTTCGTTCCGTCAGTTGATGTTATAAAAAAAATGAGGAAAATTTATGAAGATTTAGTTTTTCTTTATCTCAAAAGCAGTAATAGTAATTATATTATCATTCTGTCTATTTTAGACTCTCGCCTCTCCCAAGGCCTAAAAGATTAATTTTGAATGTTTAAATGGGAGAGGCGGTATTTCCCGGCAATGGCACTGTCGGCCGGGGTCAGGGACTCAGGTTCAAGAACCATCGAACAATACGTGTCGCATCGAGCGGGACCGCCTTCTGCATTTGTGCTGGAAGCGACACGCCACAGATATCCAACCGCCTCAAGCTGTTAGAAAGGCTGACTGGAATTAACCCATTATTATTATTATATAATTTTATTTACTTTATCTCTGAAATATAACACTTTAGTTCACATTCGAATGAATTATTTCAAATTTTCGGATTTTAAACATTGAAGTTGAGGGAGAAAAAGTCATTTTGTTATTTTTGTTAAGTAATCAAAACTGTTAATTTTGGAATGTGTA